TCTAATGCCAACCAAGGTGAAGAAATACAAGCTGGATGCAGCCATCACTTGTGAATCCAGCAAGTTTGATGGATTGATGGATTGATGGATTGATCAGCCATGCCACTGGGAGAAGTGACAGTCCTTGGCAGGCAGGAGGGTCTGTGCCATGAGCCCACTTTGGCAGCTCCTTCTCCAGGTGTTTGGTGGAGCAATCTGGTTCCCCCAAACTACAATGGGTGAGGTGCTGGGGATTTGCAAGTGGAACATCTTGGCGTTTCTGCTTCACAATCCAGAGATGTGTAGTCACAGTGACAAGATGAAAATCATAAAAAATGTGGAAGATGGATTCTGATGTCTCAGCAGAAGCAGAGGCACCACCACATTACTGGTGGTGAGTTTACTGGGAGAGTTTCTCAAAGGCACTCAGAAAATGTTCCACTCTGTGCCACAGCAGCATGTCAGGGCTCATTTCCAGTGAGCAGGGTCTGTGTCCCTGCATGTGTCCTGCAAGCCATATCACTGCAGAGTCCTTACACAAGGCAGGATGACACAAAGCTCTGGGTTGGGAATCCTTGTCTGAGGTGTCACAAGAGGAAAGCAAAGCCTCCTTTTCTCTGGTGCAGGGGGAGAAAGAAGAAAAGGAACATTTGTTCTACTGGTGACTCCAGCCTGGACTCTGTGCTCCTCCCCTCCCCATGCTGCAAGGAGCAGCAAGAAAAATAATTATGAATTGAATAGAAAGTATGGAAAACTTAAGGTTTTTGATGATGTGTTAATGAAGCTGTGTTGTGGATACTGAGTATTCTATACAGTCATAATGCAGATGAAAAAAAGACAACGCAAACATTTTGGTTCAGGCAATTATTTTATACCTATCAAGCTAATGAATGATGTGTGCGTTCTCCTGATGTCTTTGTTGTCCTCCATGACATCCCCGGCACCACATCCTTATTAAGGAATGGTGTCTGCTGCAGGTTTTGCAGGAAACCTTGGAAAAACTATCCAAACAGCTGTGAATATTTTAGGGATGAGGCTTTGCCACTATGTCCACAGTTCCTAATCTATGTCTTCTGACATACAAGTAGAGATCAGAGAAATGAATGATATCTGGGCCTATGAACATCAGGACAATGTTCCTGTTCCCCCAGAGGGAGCATCAGCAGGGCAGCCCCACCACAGGCACCCCACCCAGCCGGGCCCAGCAGGCACTTGCAGGCTCAGCGTGCCCAAAGCACGGCCAGGCAGGAGCATCCCCTGGGACACAGGCGCTGCTCAGCCCCAGCACCATGCCCAGGGCCTCGTGCTGCCACCAAGGCAGTGGCAGCCCCAGGGGCAGCAGGCACAGCACCCCTGCAGCAGCAGGACACGCACACACGGCCCAGCCCTGCAATGCCAAAGTGCTGCTCTTTATTCAAGCCGGGAAAAGCAGCCCCTGCCCCAAAGACAGCGGGGCTGGCACCACAGGGCTCCAGCCCAGCAGCAGCCAGCAGGAGCAGCTGCCACTGCTGCTGTCAGCCCAGCTGGGCACGGCACAGGCAGCGAGGGCAGGGTACATCAGCAGATGGGGACATCAGCAGATGGGGACATAAGCAGAAGGGTCCAGCAGCCAGTAGCATGCAGGAGGTTCTTCTCAGGAATTTCAGGGTCTCAGCCCCAGATTCTGCAGAAAGAAAGGAAACAAGCACATCAGCAGGTGTAACTTTCCCTGCTACTCTCTCCCCTGCCCTGCCATGCCCAGGGTGTGGTGCAGCAGAGTCAGGCTCAGGGGAGGTGAGCTGCAGTCCTTGGTGCAGACAGGCTGGAGCTGGGCTGTCTCAGTGCTGGCAGCCCTGGCTCCAGCTCTGTGCAGATCAGCAAGGCCTGGATCCAGTCCTCGGTGCTGCCCAAGGACAGGGAATGTTTCCATCTTTGCCGACCTGGCCACTTCTCTGCAGAGCCCAAATGAGGCCCCGGGGACAGGGGGAGATTGGGGAGGCTCTGGCTGACCTGGGGCTGCTGCAGCCCCACTCAGGGCAGCTCCAAGCACCTTCCCTTCCCTCCCCTGTATTCTGCCTTCAGACCTCAAGCACACTGAGCCTTTAGATACTCAGGGGCCCTTAAATAACATCTGCCATGACAGAAGCTTTTGTAATTCCAAAACTTACTTTTTGCAGCAGGAGTAAAACTTGGAACATTTCCCCGCAATGCCATAAGGGAAGGGGCAATTCAGAAGTGAGCAGAATCCCTTTTCTCTCTCACACTGTTTCTTATTTGTTGGAGCCAACGAGGATCCTGCACAAAAAGGAAAGAGATCAAAGTGTGTTTGGCATAACTGTCAAAAATGTGTCTGGTTCCAGAGCAGCTGCTGCTGGCTCTGAGTCCCAGTCTCGTATGGGAACTGAGCACCAAACCCCACACCTTAAACTCTCCAGTCAGAGTTCATTTTTTCTACAGCTGCGTGTGCTTGTGGGGAAAGAGAGAGGGAAAGACCAGCAGGAGCTACAAGAGTTGCTGGACTGGATCCTCAGCTGCTCAGGCCTCCCTCACAGCAAATCCCTCCCAAATGTTATAAACACCTGAGAATTGTGGCTGCTTATCAGGACCTGGAAAACCCCTCTGATGGGGGCTCCCACCTCAGCCATCTCCCCTCTGTCCCTCTCACCTGCAGCACTGTGGACCAGCAGGAGGAGCAAGGGGAAGAGCAGGTAGAGGATGCGCATGGCTGATGCCTGTGCTGGGTCTTCTTGTGGCTGCAGAGGGAACACACCGAGAACCAAAGCAGGGCCGAGGATTTAGGGGAATCTTTGTGCCTGGAGAGGCCAAGCTAAATGAAGTCTTATCCAATGCTGTCCATTCTCCAAGCCAGCCCACAGCTTGCTGCCCAGACACCCTGCACAATCCCCTGCAGTCAGGAAAGTCTTCCCAGCTCTGCTTGCAAGCATCCATCCTCAACTCCTGATCATTCCCAGGATTCCCAGCCAGTCCACTTCCCATCCCTGTGCAGCACTAACCCAGGAAGGAGCAAGAGGTCAGGGAAGTGTCTTGGTTCCCCAGAAGTGGCTCCCAATTGACCTACCTGAGAAAGGTGTTGGTTCAGAGCACACCAAGGTCTGTCAGTAACAAACCAAGCTGGAAACACTTGTGTGAAGAGTCCAGCTCAGGGAGTGTCCCTGTGCCCGAAACACGTTGGTTTTTCCCTATTTCCAGGGGGTGGGACAGACCCTCCCACCCAGGAGTGCCCCATGGCTGTGGGGGTGCTGGGGCTGGCCCTGGTCCCTCCCTGCTGCAGGGGCAGAGGCTGAGGTGCCTCGTGGGGCTGTTGCAATCAATGTCACCGTTGTCCCCATGCAACACCTCTTGTGACACCCGCGGCACAGTGGCAACAGGCTGTGGGGCCAGGAGGGAAATCCTTGGGATGGGCACAGGGACTGGTGGGTGCGGGCACCAGCACCAGTGCAGTCCTGGGGGAACAGAATCCTTCTTGCATTCGCTCACAGGATCCACTCTGCAATGGTTTGGGTTGGAAGTGACTGAAAGATCATCTCATTCCACCCCCCACCATGGCCAGGGACACCTTCCATGATCCCAGGTTGCTCCAAGCCCTGTGTAACCTAGCCTTGAACACTTCCATTATGGAGTAGTCACAGATCCTGTGGGCAACCTGTACCAGCGCTTCACCACCCTTAGAGACAAGAATTTTTTCCTAATGTCCAGTGTAACCCTGTCCTCTGTGGCCTTTGAAGCCATTCTCTCTTTTCCTGTTGCACAAGGCCCTGGCCCAAAGTTGTTCTCCGGCTCTTTTGGATCTCCTTGAGGCACTGGATGGGGCTCTCCAACCCCACTCTTCTCCAGGCTGGACACCCGCAGATAACTCAATCTCTATGGTTTATGTTTTGGTATGTATGAGTCTGCTTTTTGAGTAAGGCAGCAAATGAAAAACCCTTTTGAGCCTTCTCCTCCATAACTCCTTCACTGGTCAGAGTTTTGCTGCCAAAACCATTGTCCTGAGACAAACATGAAATATTTCATTTAGGATATCATGTGTTTTGGAGAAAGACTGTTGCAGGATAGAGGCACCTTCGTAGGAAGTGGGAGGTGGATGAAGCTCCCCAGTGAAACAGGATGGAAGCAAATGCCAATAAGCAACACTCTGGCATCTCTGCCAAGTGCTTCATACCCAGCTGGAAATTCAGAATTGGCCAGGGTGATATCCTTGGATAGAGAAATCTTTATCACTAGAACCAGAGCCACTTGTTATGAGCACACATGTTCATGGATCATGATCATGGAGGCATTTTCCACAGAGGGTGAGCTCAGCCTTAGCAGAGGAAAGCCATTCTAACCTCCAGTTGTGTCCGGGTGGGTGGAGAGGAGAAGACCCCCCAGCTCCCCCCCTGCAGGGCTACCCAGGTTACCCACCTGACCCAGAGGGCCCCTTTGTGATGTCACCTGGACAGCTCCCCTGGGAAATCTATTTTCCTCTAAGGTCCACAAAGGTCTCCTTGAGGTGTCCCCATGGGATCATCCCAAGTGCTCATGAGGGCAAGGCAGTCCCTCTCTGCCACGTGGTGGGATGGGGTCTGGAGCAGCACAGCTCCCAGCAGGGTCTCTGGCAAGGAGGGTTACACTGGACCCAGGGCCTCCAGGTGGGGAATGTGGGATTTTAACCACACTTGTTTTCCCAAGGAAAGATTTCTGTGCAGTAAGAAATAAGGGATTTTGGCATCTGAATACATTCTGACAAAGGGAATGAGTTCTTTTAGCCAGCCTTTCTCTTGGCACTGTAGGTTAAGGGCTGTGTAGACTTGGAGAGCAGTATGGCTCAGAAAAACTCAAATTAAGGAGCAGTTTGCACCATAAATTGTTGCCCTCTGGGGTTTGTGTGTCAAACTTCAGGCAGGATCATGACCCACATTTCAGTGACCAATGCTAATCAACAACAATTTATTTAGAAGGAGGGAAAGCAATGCAGAACACATTTGGATTTACTCTACATCATAAAGCCTTTTGCATAGGCAATGAAAGGAGTGTGAGGCTTTGCAGCAGGATCCAATGGGTTTAGGAGTAAGGAGATTCCAAGCAAATTTTTTTGTAGGCTTAGAAGAAATTTTCATTACTCTTCAATGAATGGCTCATCAACTTCTCTTAGGTTCCATGGCCTTCACAAAGGAAAAAAAAATTCAGATTTTCTTTCTGCTTATATTCCCTCCCTACTCACTATCAGTCCATGCTTTTTTCCCTCCTGGACACAAATTCTTCCCAAAATTCATAGTTCATGTCATTTTTAGTCATGTTGGGACAGCTCTATGCAGTCATACCTATGAGTAAGGAGACTGTTTCCCTATTGTTTAGGAAAAAGCAGGGAATTAAATGGATATCCCTAGATTCTGGGGTGAGTTCATTCATTCCTGAGTGAAAATAGAGGGCTGTTTTTCATATGATAATTTAATTTTACAGCAAATTTTACAATAAAAACCTCACCCTGTGCCTGAGAGCATTTCCCAACTTCTTGGGCAACACGTAACACTTGAGGCAACACAGAACACTTGACTGTCCTCATGGCATAATAGTTCTTTTTTTCTCCTTATACCTAATGTAAATATTCAGGAACACCTTAGGGTTTTAAGAGACTCTTTCTGCTTATATTCCCTCCCTACTCACTATCAGTCCATGCTTTTTTCCCTCCTGGACACAAATTCTTCCCAAAATAGTTCATGCCATTTTTAGTCATGTTGGGACAGCTCTATGCAGTCATACCTATGAGTAAGGAGACTGTTTCCCTATTGTTTAGGAAAAAGCAGGGAATTAAATGGATATCCCTAGATTCTGGGGTGAGTTCATTCATTCCTGAGTGAAAATAGAGGGCTGTTTTTCATATGATAATTTAATTTTACAGCAAATTTTACAATAAAAACCTCACCCTGTGCCTGAGAGCATTTCCCAACTTCTTGGGCAACACGTAACACTTGAGGCAACACAGAACACTTGACTGTCCTCATGGCATAATAGTTCTTTTTTTCTCCTTATACCTAATGTAAATATTCAGGAACACCTTAGGGTTTTAAGAGACAGGCAAACTATTTACTATTTCTCTCCTCATGCTGCAGATGAGCCTTGGTGAACCCCAAACTCACGGTTTGCAGCAGGAGCGGAACCCAAAGCAGCTTCCAACTTTAACCAGGTGGAAGGGACATGCTCCAAAGTGACAGCTCCCTCCTCTGCAGAAAAGCATTTCCCTCCGGGGCGAAGACAAACCTGCAACAAGAACAAAATGTTTCCTTCCCCCTTGCTCTGCAGGGCAGGGAATTGCAGTGGAAGGATTTCTCATTCTCAGGTTACAAAGCAGGTCTAGCACAAGCATTGGGCTGATTGATTAATTCCTGACTGGCTTCTAGCAGTTTGGAATAGAAGTGGTTAAAATGTGCTGGGGATTTTCCTTCAGGTGCACAAAAATCTCATTCTAGCATCTCTTTCCCATCTTACCTGGAGAGACCTGGAGTGCCAGGAAGAGGAGAGAAAAGAGCAGACAAAGGGTCTTCATGGCTGAGGACGTGCTGTGGCACTGTTGGGAAAAGGACCAAGGAAGACGTAAGAGACAGTCCCTGGGATCTGCAGTCTCCTGAGCTACATACTTTGTTAATAACAATTACATTTATATTAATTTTAGCTGCAAGCTTTCAAAAATAATCAGTAAAACCCTGACTATTTTATGAGGCAAAATGTTTTCAGGACATATGATCATTAAGTTACTTTAATAGTTTAGTAGCTCAGATTTCTTTTCCATTTTGCAAAGAGTCCTTAGCCAGAACAGAATCATGGACTCCCAGAATGGTTTGGATTGGAAGGAGCATTGAAACTCATCTTGTTCCAACCCCTGAGGCTGAAACACCTTCCACTAGACCAGGTTGTTCAAAGTCCCATCCAACCCGGTCTTAAGTACTTCCATAACTTTATTTTTAGCTAAATGATTTTATCAAGTAAATAAACAACATAAAGCAAAATTAGGTGACAATACTGTAAAAATTACAAACTTCAGGGGGAAAAAAAGTTTATTTTGTAATGTTTAAATTTATCAAGAGGTCAGTTTGCTCAGCATCTCCAGTCTTGGTCTACAGGCAGCAGTTCTAGAATAGAAATGTACAATCAAACCAATTCCTATTTGAAAAGAAAATTTTGAAAGCAAACATATGATACCTTCATTGGAAAAGTTTCAACTAATATTAGTATTAACTTTATAGAATAAAATAGTCCAGAAGGGTGGTTATGGATAAAGAAGTGGCAGTTAATGTTTCATATCCTGGCATTGGGAAAGTTCTGATCTGTCACAAATGATGGTCTCTCAAGCAAGGAATGGAAATGAGATTGTGCTGAAATGTCCTGTTGCTGAGAACAAAATTGATAGAGGGTGAACAAAACTGTTTCAAAATTAATATTAGAAGTTTACACAAGTTTCTATATATTTGAAAATATCAGGAGAAATGAGGAGATTAAGTGAACAATTCTGAAATTGAAATAAGGGTTTTAGAGTAGAGACATAAATAAAAAAGGCAATAAATAAAATATGCATTATATACAATATTAAAATATATAAATATACAAATAATGTATAATTTTATACCTATTATGCATTACAAAAATATTGTATAACTATTTATAATATTTATATTTATATTCAAAGGCTATATATTTAATGGAAATATCTAGATATAGACATGTAGATTCCCACTGAGAGGTCACCAATTTCTCTGGACCACAGACCTCTCTAAAGAAACCTGAACCAAACAAACATTTATTTTTCCTAGGACTTAGGAGGCAGAAAATTTGTTAAAGAATTCTAGATATTAGCATATATTTGAATCACTTATTCAACATGTTCAGTTTTCCGAAATCTTAGGTTTACCATTTTAGTTACAAACAAATTAAAGATAATAACACAGAGGTTTGGGAGTTGGATTTTTGAGGAAAAAACAAAAGCTAACATTGAAAGAAAAGAACTGTGACATTACCAGTATCAAGTGAGCCCTGAAGCCAAACAAGACTTGCTCTTGGTCCCTTCCCTCCTGAAGACTTTGGCTCTGGGACACTCTTTTATAAGGTGAGCCCCAAAAGGGACTGACAAGTACTTTCTCTTCTCAGCCATTCATTGAACCAATCCAAAAATTGCTCTTTTTTTTTTTTTTTTGGATGGCTTCTAATCCAATCAGAAACCAGCTGCTTTTCATTAGCCAATGATAAAACAGGGTTTCTCTCTGAACCTGTTTGAGCTTTTTTCCTGGAAAATCCCATGTTTTTCATGCAATACCTCTTGTGACACTCCAGTTTGTGTAAGATACGTTAACCCACCATGGTATGTGTCAAGCATCTTGGGACAGAGGTTGAAATGCCCCTGCCTAGGAGCGACTTAAAACCTTGCAAGACAAAGCATCTGTGTGTTCCCTGCAATCCCAGTTAATTTTCTGTTCCATAAATACAGACTAGAAGAACAGTGAATGGATATATGGAACTAAAACAAATGTCCGTTGTCTTCCTGGCCCGTGGCCGCTGGAGATGCCAGAGTGAAGCAAGAGGTATCCAAATAAAGTGAATACATCATGGTTATGTCCCTGGATCTCAGGGTTCCCTCTGGTTGAGATGATCCCGAGGTGTGTTAAAAGTCTCTTTTCCCCACCCCAGCTGTCCGAGAAGAAACCAGAAGTCTTCGGCTGTCGTTCTCAAGGTTGTTTATTATTTCTTATCTAAAACATTTTCTGTCTGGACTGCCAAGGTCTGTTCTGCAGGTCGGTCTGAGGCACACTGCCCGCCCCTGGGCTGGTGTTGTCTTTTATACTACAAACTATGTGTTCAATATTTACAATTATGTTCCAATACCTATCACCTATGTTAGACAGTGACTTTCTACTTTAAACCAATCCCAAAGTGCCACCATCACCAAGAAGAAGGAGGCTAGGAAGAAGAAGGGAGAAGGACAGGACAACACCCAAATCCCTCCATCTTGTCTCCTAGAACCCCATAGTAAAATTCTTCAAAATTCCACCTTTCACCCTGTGACAACTACTGTTATGCTACTTAAATTTTTGTGACTTGTAATTCTTCATATAAAGTTGGTAATTTGCTCCATGGGTCGAACTCAAAGCCACAGGAATCTTTGGCTGCATTCCAGGGTCTCTGAGCTCCCTGCCAGGGCTTTGAGCCATCCAGGGCATCCAGAGAGATGTCTTGGGTTCTGACACCTGGACACCCTTCCAGCTGATGGGAAATATGTAAATTTAGTCAAATCCAGTGCCAGAGCATGTCTTTGGGCCTTCATGCCCCAAAGCTCCTGCTTGAGCTTTTTTCCCAGGACTCTGGTTGATTTTTTCATACTTTCTGCCTTCCACAGGGCCTTCAGTTGATCATTCCAAAACCAGATTATGCCTTAGATGAGCATTCAGGTTTTGGTTATCTGCTCTCAGTCTGCCAGCTGTTGAACTCTGCTTCTCCTGCCCTGGGAAGTAGCACCCAACTTCTGCATGGATGGAGCACCTCTCCCGTGAAGAGATGGAGAGAGCTGGGGTGTTCAGCCTGGAAAAGAGAAGGATCCAGGGAGACCTTAGGTTCCATCTTAGTATCTAGAGGGGTATTATGAAAAAGGGGGAGAGGGATTTTTTATATGGACAAAAAGTGACAAGACAAAGGGAAATTGTTTTAAACTGACAAAAGGCAGGTTTGTGATAGATGTTAAGAAGAAACTGTTCCCTGTAAGGGTGCTGAGGCCCTGGCACAGGTTGCCCAGAGAAGCTGTGGCTTCTCCATTCCTGGAAGTGTTCAAAACCAGGCTGGATGGAGCTTGGAGCAACCTGAGATAGTGGAAGGTGTCTTTCTCTGCATTGGGGAGGTTGGAATGAAATTATTTTTAAGGATCCTTAATCCAAACCATGCTATGTTTCTCTGACTCTAAGATATTAAATGCTTTCTCCGATCATATTTTACTTTAAACCTCCCTTCAGTCAACAAAAAAAATATTCTTTATGCAGTATTTTAACATGATATATGAAGTACATCATAATAGGTAATGATACATTTGCTAATTTGAATGATTGGTGTCTCTAATTGGCCAAGACCTCTGCAAATTACACCATGTCTTACAGACACTGCTGTACTGCAGTGTCTAAAAGTAATACCAAAATAAATCTGAAATATTTCCATTGCTGACTGGCAGTTTACCTCCTAGCCGTGTAATTTTTTCATTACTTTGATATTACGTTCTTAAGTAGAACCATAGAATAGTCTGAATTGGAACGGACTTTTGAAAGGTGCAGTCCAAGCCCTCTGCAATGAGCAGGGACATCTTCAACTAGATCAGGTTAGCCCAGACCTAGCTCAGAGCTCTGTCCAAGTAAACAGGTCTAGAGAAGTGTACAGAAATCACCTATATGCATGTGAAAACGTGACTACAAACCATTTCCCTTACAAGCATACCCTGACACAGCTTTTTATTCTCTAGATAATTTCGTATGTGAACTGTTTCTGCAATAGGAAAAAATGGTAATTGGATTTCTGGTGTGTCTGCCAACGTGTGGGCATAAAACTGAAAAATAGGGGGAATAAAATTGCAAAAGTTGCAGTTGCTTCACCTCTTGCCAAGTGTTTGTGGTTAACTTGCCAACTGTTGCTCTTACCCAACACAATTCCTCAAGGAAACAAAGGTGCATTGTTAATTTTTATTGTCTGTAAGATTTTATGTGCAAGTACTCTCAAGGGCTTGGCTTTAACACTGGGCATCCTTGGCCCTGTTTAATATAAATTTCACATGGCCACAGTCCCATCCAGGCCATCAGAAAACCTCTGCCTGGACAAGGGGAAGGGAGAAGCAGAGGAGCGGTGGAGCACCTTTGGCAGAACTCAGCAAGAATTTTGGGCTGTGGCTCTTAGTGGGGACAATCTTTCCATCCCCATCTGCAGCTCCTGTTCTTCTGAGCAAGAGACAATCAAACACTTCCAATTATTATGGTGGGATCAGCATTTTGTGAACAAATCCAGTGCTGAGGAGCTGCTGTGCCTGAAGCAGGTGGGATATGCTCCAAAGGGAAATGTCCTCAAAGGAGACTGCAAAGTGTCTGGAGCAGAAATTTTTTTCACGCTTTTAAAATCATATAATTTTACCAAGATCACCTTCCAGAGAAGAAGGAGGATCTTATCTCCACCTTAGGAGTTTGTATCTAGCACAGAAGATGAGGCAATTGGGAGCAAAAAGGAGAGCCTCAAACTCTGCTCCTAGTAGTTTTCTCTTGAAAATAAAAAAGGGAAATATTAGGCATGTCTTTCACTAGTGTTACCCCTAATTAAAGTGCTTCAAAATGTACATAAAATGTATTTAATCAAGCTCAATACTTTATTGATTATGCATTTATCTTGAGTAAATGATGAGATTAACATCTGCATGAACAATTCTGTCTCCATCTTTTGACCTGACAGCTAATTAAAGGTACTGGGGTACAAGGGCAGAGTCCCCTCTCTTTTTTGAGAAGCAGAATGTGACTGGCAGTGATGTATGTGTGATCAAAGCTCCTTGGCACAGGCCAGGAACCCCAAAGTTTCTAAAATTCAAAGAACCTTTGTAAACCGAATCAAATTTTCTAGAGAAAACTGGCAGGAGTAATCTCACCAAATTTCAGATATCCTAAAAGGAAATATCCAAGTACAAACTATTTTCACTGCTCTCCCTTTATGGATAATGGAGAGAGACTGTTCTACAGACTTTTAATAGACATTTGCAGTAAGATTGTTAGAAGTAAAACATAGAAGTAACAGAAGGGATAGAAAAACCCAGAAACATTGCAGGAGGAGGTGTTTTGCACTAAGAGCCACAAGCACTGATTCAGAACAACACAAGTGGCATCTGTGTCTCCCACAGAGACAGAATTTGCTCTTCAGAGGGTTTTTCTAAATATGTTGTCACCTCTCCAAACCCACCCAGAAAGTCATTAGGAGTCCAAACCATCCAATTTTGGCAACATATTTCACTGGGCACTGTTGTGACTGTTTAGCAACTGCTTTTGAAGAGATAACAACCAAATCCCTATGATGAATACCCATAACTCTTGAGAATATATTTTTTTTACTCTATCCCTTTTTTAACTTTTTTTTTTCCTATTTTGTGTTGCTGATATGATTCAAAATGCTCCCAATTTTCCTTTGCGTAAGGTCCACTCAGAAGCAAAATTTCTCAGATGCCTCCAGGCCCTCTGAAGGAAACATCTGGAGCTATCTTGGCTTTATCTACACTGCTAGGCCATGAAGGCAAGGAAAAGAGACAGAAGCACACATTCCAGCCCATATTTTTTTTTTCTTGCAATGAGAAAGGAAAGTTCACTTTGCAACTGCAACGACTGCTCCTCTTGGTACTGAGGGCTCCTAATTTGCTTAATTGCAGAATGATTTGGGTTGGAAGGGACCTTAAAAATCATCTCAACCCAAGAGCAAGACACCTTCCACTATCCCAGGTTGTTCCAAGCCCTGTCCAACATGGCCTTGGACACTCTCAGGGATGGGAAAGCCACAGCTTCTCTGGGCAACCTGTGCCAGGACCTCACCACCCTCACAGGGAAAATATTTCCCTCTTTCCCTACAAAGAATCACCAGAGCTCAACCACATGACTGCCACCATAGCTGATTTTATTAAAGGAGAGGAAAGAAATAGTTTCCACAGTGTTGCCTGGTTCATGTTTGTGGTGTTTGCTTCACTGCAAGGGAGGATTGTGACAACTTTTCATTGCAGCAGGAACTGGTGCCACCAGGAGCGATGGGATCAGGGTGATTCCCAGGAGCCATTCAATAGAAGCAGGAAGGATTTCCAAGGTGAATCCAGGGACTCTTCAGCTACTCCAACCCCTGCATGAAGAAGAGAGGGTCTCTCTACCCACCTGTAGGTTTTCTGCATAGATGTTCTCGTTATCTCATGACATCAGAGCAGAGGCTGCCGTGCGATGTGAATTCCCCCTCTATGCCAGCAGCTTTGGCACCAGAGAAGTGAGACAGATGGCAGAAGCTGTGCCTCTAAGATG